CATGATCAAACTCAGCGCCCCTGTCACACTTCCCAACTTTCAGATCCTCATGTATCTGTGCTCTTAATGAAAGCCTTAACCAAGCCCCAGTAACCAGTGACTGGGGAAAGATCATCCTGGGAATATTTTCAGCTTGTGTCATTATGCTTTTTATTAAAATACATACATATTTATTTTTCCAAGATGAATTACTGACACAGATCTCCAAAACTTTGTAAATCTATTTTTAATCCATGTTTTACAGCAGCTTTTTTAAACCCCCTACCCTTCTTAAGATCTAACTAACACTTAAGTATCAAAGACAGATTTGCATTTCAAAAGCCAATTAAAAAGCATAGTGTACCAAGGCACTGATTAAAGTGTTGTGGCTTTACATAAATTAGGCAGTTCCTTTGACTTTCCCTATTTCAAATCCATCATAACAATGGGGAAATCCTGCACATGGCATGGACTGTATGACCACCTTCTCCCTTCCCTGCCCTTAAACTGGTGATGGCAAACTCAACCTCCATCTGCTTGAAGGAACCAAACTGTGGAGCTCACACTGAATGGGAAAGAGATTATCATACCCCCAAACTGCTGCTCATTAAAGAAAACTAACATTTATAGTTGTGTGCAACCTGAAAATTTAGGTTTGTTCCTAAAAATCCAGGATTTACTACTCCAAGCCTGGCAGAACAGCACTACCAAGGTACAACAGCACACAATTTCAAGTTCCAGACTAACTGGAGTGTTCTTCACAATGGAATATTTTATCATGTCCTCTGACTTTCAGAAATCTAAAGGCAGCAAGGATCAGTTTCTTTCCAAGGCTCACTTGCCACAGGACCTCTTGATCCTCACCCCTCCGAAAGAGCAAAGCCTTGCCTGGATCATCACACCCAGAGAAGGTCCTGCAAGGGCACAGTGCCCAGTGGAGCTGCCATGAGCCAGTCCCTGCACACCCAGAGCAGGGTCAGACACACAAAGTGATGGAAGCCCAGCCAGCTGTCTCTGACACAGCTCCTGCAAGCCCTGACCCAGCACTCCAGGCCCAGGCACCCAGAGCCTGTTTGGGGTTCAGTTTTTCAAACCCCTGTCACCCTACGGCAACAAAAGAGCTTCAGATTCCAAAACCCCCAAAAAATTAGATCCCTCAAACTAGAATATATAGGAAGTCCTTTAAATAACTTGAGAAACTTATCCAAATTTGGGCACCTTCCTGTAGGTGGAATGCTCAGCATCATCCACTGTCGCAGACATCTTTTCATTAAAAATCCTTCTTTAGGATTTTTCCTTCTGAGAAAGCTGAGAGGCCTCAGGAACAAAATGTAAACAATGATTATCTGCTGCTGTGGAATACAACAGGTGCATCTGGGATTGGTCTCATGTGGTTGTTTGGAATTAGTGACCAGTCACAGCAGAGCTGGCTCTCTCTCTCTGTCTAAGCCACAGACCTTTGTTTTCATTCTTTTCCATTCTATTCTTAGCTTAGCCAGCCTTCTGAGATGAAACCTTTCCTTCTATTCTTTTTAGTATAGTTTTAATGTAATATATATCATAAAATAATAAATCAAGCCTTCTGAACATGGAGTCAGATCCTTGTCTCTTCCCTCACCTGAAAACCCCTGTGAACACCATCACAATCCACCAGCTGTGCAGTTCCAAGGCTCAAAATTCCAGCCCTGTATCCACATGATGGAACACAACATGTTATTACTGCATTTCCTTGCCCTGCCCCCCTAAACTTGTCATTTTTAAGAGTTATTTAATGAGTAAGAAGCTGTTAAAACATGCAACCCACACTTCATAATGTTCCCTTTTAGAGATCAGGTGCATGGCAGCACCACACTCACCCACAGCAGAGGAACCACTGCTCAATTAGGAGGGGAATTTGCTCCCTCCCACTGGAATTTTGAGGCCAAGGGGAACCCTTCCTATGCCAACAATGCCCACGCTCTCCACAGCCTGAAAGCTGCCAATTAAAACAAAGAGTGGGAAGGAATATTAAAAACCACTGTTAAAACTAAGGGATTCAAATGAGGACAAGAAAAGCAACAGGCTAAACCAGGATTTAAATATTCCACCTCTTATTCCAAAGCCTTCAGCAACCAAAGTGCCTTTTCCCCTACAAGAGGATTAAACTCAGCATGGTCTTGCCCAGCTCTTGGCACTTGTCTGGGGTGGTAAATAGGTTTTCACACACCCACATCTGCCAAAGCTCTGCAGCATTTCAGCCAAAGGATGCTCTGGGGCAGCTTTCCAAAGCACAGGATGGCAAAAGGCAATGCACAACATGTGTCACCAGCATTTCCTCTGCCTGTGGGCAATAAAAGTACCATTTTTATTGCATGGAATTAATCAATAATCTAAATACACAGCTGTCAGGCCAATGTGTGCCAAAGGGGCAACTGGTTGTGTGGGGAACGTCCTTATTGTCTTGGGCTGGACTGTATTTGTTCTGTTTTCTACCTAAGATTTTTTGGGGAAAAAAAAAAAACTCACCAGAACTGCACTGTTGTTTGTTGTAGGTTTTTTTAAAGTAGGGTTTCCTTTTATTTTCCAAGTACTTGGGTTCTTCCACAAGTACTAAAAGGCTCTTAAAGATTCCATCATTTTCGAAAATATCAATTGAAATCATCCCCTCTACCTAGATAGGAGAAAATGGAAGTGGAAACTCCACAGACATTTTGGCTTACCTTCATTTTTAACCCCATTAACCTCACCTAATGATCATATAGAGCTGTCTGATAGCAGAGGCAGGAGGCTGAAGGCTCTCATGTGGAAAGCAGCAGAATTAATCCCGACAGCAGCGAGGCAAGGAGGTGGTAATTGCTGCAGAGAAGTGTGGGAGAACTGCCTTTATTGTCCTCATTGCCAAGAAGCTCGGAAATCTATTCCTCATTAAGAGATTCTCAAAGTCACTCTTTTAAGGTATAAAACCCCAATTTTTCTATTTCTGACACTGCTGATGTTTCACAACAATGCTACAAGGCAAGTTAATGGGAACAACATCCGAATGCAAACGATGGAAGCAGCAGCTCTGGGAGATGCAGGAGCACCACTCAGGAAGAATTCATTACCCCCAGACATTTATTAAGCAAAGGAAAAAAAAACTGTTTGAAAAAGGTTGGCAAACATCATTAGAGAAACAAAGGGAAATCGCTTCACGGGCTTTTTTTTCTAGTTACAGTGCCTTAGTTTACCTTGTTTTTACTGTTGGGTTGGGTTTTGAAGTCTCACCCTTACTCAGTAATTACAAGTCTCTTCCTGCTTTACTGTTTACAAGACACAAGCTGGCAATACCAAGCCCTGAGAAATAAGCAAGTGACAGAACAAATCACTTTTCCCAGACATAATTTTTTATTTTTACCTGCAAACTTCACTCCCTCACTGCCTCCTACCCCCAAAATAAAGCTATCACCCATCAAGTCTAAAGGGGACTCAACAAAGCTGGGGTTATGACTTGGGCTTTTAAATGGAAAATTGTGTGCATTTGGTTGGTTGTTACTTTTCAGGTTTCCTTGTTCACACCTGATACTCAAGAAACAGAAAAATACAATTCTCCAGGCCTCCATCCCTACCCATCTCCCAGTCCTGCAGGGATTGTACACATTGCTCTTGGGAGCTTCCCAAATGTTTCAGACAGAGCAGGTAATTCTCCACATACAAGCACAGAAAGTTATTTTAAGGTTATTTATACATAAAGAAAGCAAAATCCTGTTTTCTTCCTCCTTCTAAGCTGTGGTAAATCTCCATTGTGATTTCAGACACCTGACACTTCTCTTAATCCATTCATTGCAGCTTTGCTGATCTCCAGCATTTCCTGAGAAATGCCCCACATGAAGCAGCTTACAGGAACAGAACACATGCCAGCTCCCAGCCACTAAAATGAGAGCCACAGTCCCAGTTTCCCTGAGCTGATGGAACCAGCTCGTGCTCCTTGGGAAGCACTTCCCATTTTTCCAAGGGCAGAGCATTCCTTTCTGTGAGAAATGATGCTCACTTAAAAAAATTAAAAGGTATATTAAAACCTCA